AAGCCTCTTTATCTCCAAACTAAAACCTTCACTTAACACCCAAGGCAGCTCATTCCCTCTTAAGCTTTTCTTGTCCCAACACCACACCCTAACAATACATCGCATCACACTTACACAGCCACAGTAATCTGACCCCTCAAATTATGTCAATAACTCTAAATATATCTATAATTCTTGTTAACTTCCTTATTAGTCTCAAGATGTTTTGAGTCAATAAGAAACGTCACTATTTTAGTAAATTTCACAAAGCCAAATTGTGTATGACTATGTTCAAAATTATTTGTTGGGCTCTAATATTATTTTGATAATCCGTTTCCCAACTGGCACTTCATTGGCAACAATATATATATATATAGATATGTCAACGACATCTTTGCCATAGTCAAGAAAGACAAAACTGAACAAATCCTATACACCATAAACAATACCACAAAGAACATTACCTTTACTAAAGACGAAGAACACGACAAACAACTTACCTTCCTCGACATCCTACTAACCAGAACAGATGACGGTACACTAAACACACAAGTATACCGCAAAACCACCCACACAGACCAAATACTCGATTTCAACAGCAATCATCCAACACAACACAAAATAAGCTGCATTCGAACACTTTTCAACAGGATAAACACTCATTGTAATACGGAAAAAGCCAAAAAAAAACAGAACGCAACTACTTATACTCCACATTTATTAAAAACAATTACCCTAGAAACTTCATAAACAAAACTATATACAAAATACAAAACAAAACACAAACCGACAAAAGCAACAAAAAACCGGACGAAACAGTAAAAATCGTCACATTACCATACATAAACGGAACATCAGAAATGACTGCCAGACTTCTTCGACCATTTAATATTAACGTCGCCCACAAACCTACACAAAAACTCAAATCATGTTTCACCAAACATAAAGACAAAACAACAATTCATGATACAACTGACGCGATCTACATGATACCATGTAAAGACTGTTCAAAGCAATACATAGGACAAACATCTAAGAAAATTGAAACAAGACTCACAGAACACAAAAACGCCATAAAACGACGAGATCCGAACTCACTACCTGCAGAACATACCCACGGAAACAACCACACATTCGACTAGACAGAAACTTAAGTACTCGGACGCGCACAGACTAAACACGCACGCGAATTTAAAGAAGCTTGGTACAGTAAAGACAACGACACAATAAACAGACATATCGACATACCCATCATATACTCACAACTAAAGAAAAAAGACATAAAAACTACAAACAACACCAAAACTAAAACACTACACTCTAATATTATTAACACCAACCATATTAACAACACACCAAAACCCATGGCAACGCATTTCACCCCATCCAATCACATTAATCCACCCACTAATCCAATTAGACGCTCTAAACGTCTCCAAGCTAAAAGCACGTGTAAATAAATATCCTCATTCTGATGAAGGCTCGAAGCAACGAGTCGAAAGCTCAATAAAAATCATTCAAAATTAGGAGAAACTTTTATCTTTTATGTATTCAATGCCTGGATTACAAATTTTCAAACTTATATATATATATATATATATATATGATGAGAAGAAGAAAATACACAAAAGTACAATTTCATCCCGACAAGCCTGTTTCGTGATTTCTCACTCTTCAGGGATAATATTGTATATATACAATTTGCATTTATATATATATATATATATATATATATACAAATTGTATATACAATGTGCCCTCCCGGCTATCACCATATTTAAATGGTGATTCCTGCACTTGGGACACAGGACGTACGGTTAAATATATATAAATGTTTCTCCGGATTGTATAAAAATATTTTATTAAGCTTTCGACTCGTTGCTTCGAGCCTTCTTTAGAATAAGTGTGTAATGTTGTAGTTTTGGTGTTGTTTGTAGTTTTTTTGTAATATTTCTTAAGTTGTGAATATATAATTGTGTGAATATGTCAATATGTCTGTTTATTGTGTCGTTGATACCTTTATTTCATGACTTATAATAGCTTGAATGTATAAACTATATTTATATTTATAAAACCTTGAATGTATAAACTTGAATTATATTTATAATACCTTAAATTATATTTATACATTGAATTATATTTATACCTTGAATTTATTTATATTACCTTGAATGTATAAACTATAATACCTCATAATTTAATAAACTATAATAACTATTGTGTCGTTAATACCTTTACTTAATGAATTATAATACCTTTCTATTTAGGACCTTACTGAAACAACTAGAAAGAACAACTTGGACAGACTTTTCATCCTTTGGAATAGGTAAGGTTAATTTTTTTTCTTAAGAATAAGTTAGAATTAATTTTTTCAATGTTGCTACTAAAATTGGAAACGCACTATTATTGACTTCTACATATAAAATAGAATTGCGCAAAATGACGTAAATTACAGCATAGGTGACTAAAGCAAGTGTACATTTTTCGAAATATGGTTTGCTGCATAAGCTTTATAGCTTTTATTTGTTTGTCATGCATGGTGCTGGGATTGATTTATTACTAATACAAAAACGTAAACTTTTCTCTCTACATCACACCAGAGCCCTCTACAAATATAAAGCTCTGCATCACACTGCTTCGTTGCTTAATGCTCAAACCGATACGCTCACGCAAATCTCTGACTTGGCTGTTTATTTTTTACACTCGACATCTCTGCCTCTTTATTTTTTGCGTTCAAAATTACCTGATGATAGTGTTAATCCTTGTTGCATTATGTATGCAAACCGAATTATTTTAGTTTTTCACCATTGACATTTTGCCGCTGTTGTGTTTAACTGTTACCATCATTTTCGTCTCAATTTACTATCATGTGCAATTATAAAATGCATGATGTATTTACAGTACTCAAAGATTGTTTGTCGTTTGCATGCTCTTACGTGAAAGAATCACTTGAGAATTGGTCTATGCCATATGTTAGAAAAAATGCGTGATCCAATATCAAGATTATACATAATGCGCTCAAATGTTGACTGATCTGATATTTTATCAAAGCAAGCTTTCGGCTGTCTACAGCCTTCGACGGGTTATAAGAGAAATGAATGGGATGGGATGTAACACTACAAATACATAAATAAAGAAGCAAAAATAAAATAATATTATACAATGTTCTATGTAGAAGGCATATACTGTTTTTATAAAAGAATTTTGTATTGTGCTGGAAGTGGTTTTGGATTATTATCGGCTGCTTTGGTCATTCCAGTGTCCAATGATTTTAAAGTTTTTCGCGTTCTGTAGTTTCCTGTGTCAATAATACAAATGTTTTCAAAATGAATTGTATGGTTGTGCTCCTTCTTTCTTGTTTGGAAACATCTGCCTGTTTCAAGGAAATAACCCCAACCACATTCTTTGCAGAGTATTTTTTAAATGACATCAGTTTGCTCTTCAATAGGTAGTCGGGTTTTTTTCTTTTTGTAATGTCTAATATTACTATATTTCCGCTTTTTTATTTATGTATTTATTGTGTTACATCCCATCCCATTTATTTCTTTTGTAACTCGTCGGAGGCTGTAGACAGACAGACAAAGCTTTATTTAATAAATCATTATATCAGTGAACATTTGAGCGCAATATGACATATGTTGTTATTATTACGTGACTGTGCTCAAGCCTCGTACAAAGAAAAGCAACGGCATTTAGATATTTTGAGACTTTTAAAAGTTTTTTCACCGAGAGCATTTTTGCTATGATTGTGTTTAAAAAGTTTTCTAACGTGTCTAAGATATAGTTCAGAGAACGAAATTCCCATAAACGATAAATGAAAACAACGCGCTTATGACTTGTATTAGATTACATTTGAAAGTAAACGCTTTGCGTTGAGCATTGCAAATGATCGCAAGTCTTTGTATTTCTGTTCATAGTTTGGCACGCATCATATTTCACTTAATGTAAAATTGTAAATCCATAAAAATAATACCTCTATTTTGTACAATGTTCGAAAACAAATAAATTTACTGTAAATCTGTATTAGTAAAGCGAAAAATGTATAAGAAATGTAAATACAACCAGACAATACATCTTGTGCCGCGTATGGCTGCGCATGCGTGCAATAAAATCATTAAATGGAAAACGAAAATTACTTTGAAAAAATGGTGGCAAAAAATTTGAAGAAAGTTCTTTTCCTTCATTCTTTGCAATTTGTGTTATTTTTATTGTTGTCAATTTAATATTACCATATGATAATTGCTTTCAAGTGCTTAAAGAGACGGCATTATTTGTTATTATGTATGTCAGCAAAAAAAAAAATAGCAGAGGAAAGTGAAAAACAGGCAACTACGACAACTTCGTCGAAAGAGTAGGTCATGTTAAGTCGTAAATAGAAGAACCGAAGAGTGGTGGAAAAATCTTTTGAATGGAGATGCTCCACATAATGTTTAGAAGAAAAACCTAAGAATGACTAAGGACTGCTTCTTTAATTTAGTAGTTAATTTAATTTAGTTATTGACTGAATCCTATCATTGCACCTAAACAGGCGCGGATCCAGCTCGTTAGCTGACCGATGCATTGCGAGCGCCGAAGGCGCGAGCCACCGCTAGGAGGGTCTGGGGGCATGCTCCCCCAGAAAATTTTTGAATTTTCACTATCCGAGAAGCATTTTCCAGCGATTTGGGAAAGGTGACAGAAAAATCTTAAGCATAAATTTTATCGAAAAAATAACATGAGCCGTCTTTTGTAAGATAACAGCATTGATAAAAGCAATGTTCAAAGGTGGTCTTCTTCCAACGGTAAAAAAGATGAAAAGTTTAATAAAAGCAATGTTCAAAGATGGTCTTCTTCTAACGGCAGCAATTATAAAAGCAATGTTGAAAGATCGTCTTCTTCCAAGCACAGCAAAGATGAAATGTTTAAGAAAATCAATGTTTAAACGTGGTCTTCGTCCTCTCAATAACGGCTGAAAACAAGATAACTCTCAAAGAAAATGTAGGTTGTTTATCAGCATTAAGAATTTCTCATGGAGCTCATCGTCAAGCATCTGTTTCTTTATCCTCCAGGATATCAAGAAATTGCATCCTCGTTGGGTTTTGTCTGGCAAAGGTATTAATCACTTCTTCGACATCACACTTAATATCATCATTAATATGCATTTGGGCTAATCCATTTAACCTTTCGTTGATCATTGTGCTACGTAACCAAGTTTTCATTCGACGAAGGGCAGAAACGGATCTTTCACACTCACATGTAGTGACTGGAACAACAGCGAGTATCTTAAGCGCTGTAAATATATTTGGAAACGCAAGTTTGTTACAAGTTTGAAGCGTGTCGGCAATTGAATCGTACTTAACTTTCTCAAAGCCCCCTTTCCAATTTGTTTCCCACAATCCTAATTCAGCATGTATTTTCCGAAAGTGTGGCATATCCTCTTTATATGCAACAGCAAACTTCATAAACTCTTCCTTCCAATTAACGTCCTTGCAATTGAGAAAAATACTAGGTATAATATAGAATCCACGATAAATATCGCACACCTCTGAAGAAAACCGAAATTCCATCTGTTCAATCAAGTGATCAAGAAGAGGGATGGTTAGTTTCATGCGGTAGTATTCACGTGCTGTATGTGCAGGATAGTTTTCACGAGTTGTCTGAACATTGCAAAGTCGAGGAATTTTTTCATCAACGTTTACTCTGTTTGCTAAATCCACTGCTTCTTCGTAGTATTGGTCATGAATTGTATCAGCCGAGCTGCGTAATATTTTTAATTGTGACTTCATAAGATTTATATGTTTAATTGATTCAGCGATATCGATCATCCTTTGCTGCAGTTGAACAGTCAACGACATTGTGTGATGCAGAACATTTGATGTAATCACAAGATTAACAATAAATTCGAAAGATTTTATGGAACGAAGATATCCCTCTGCGTCCCTACTTGAATTATCAAAATCTTTATTCATATTGAGCTTCATGTACTCTAAACTTTGACAAACAGGTACAAATGCTTCCACAAATCCATCAAGTGTACGTATCCGTTCAACCCAACGCGTTGTGGATGGAGCTCCTAGTTTTTTACGACGTAACCCAGACTTTTCCATATTCTGCCTCAAGCACTGCATTCGTAGGGGGGATGGGCTGAAGAAACTGAAGATCTTTTGAGCATGCCCCAACATGTTTTTGACAGTTTGCTCACCACATGCTTTAGCAACAACAAGGTTCAATCGATGACTAGCGCAATGGATATACAAAGCTTTTGGATTTTATTTTAAAATACGACCAGCAACTCCCTTTGATTTGCTTGACATTGCACTGGCACCATCATAGCACTGACCACGACAGTTGGAAAGTAGTAGCCCAACTTCGTTTAAAGTATCTTCGATATTCTTCGCTAGCGCTTCGCCAGTCATTCCTTCACACTCAACAAATTTAATAAATCGTTCATTAATTTCTTGCTTTGAGTCAACATACCTTACAACAATTGGCATCTGCTCGATACTGCTGCAGTCTGTTGCCTCATCACCAAGGACTGAGTAAATTGGGCATTCACTAGAATTGATGTCAGAAACAATCTTTTCTTTGATTTGTTCCCCGCAGATCTTTATCAGCTTGTTTTGAATTGTCTTCGAACGATAAGTTGCATTCTTACTTGCATTTTCAAAATGTTTTTCTAGTTTCGCGTCATCCGCGTCTACTCTAAAATTCAAAAAGGCTTGAAAGTTCCCAGGATTAGAAGATAGAAAATACTTTGAGTCGTCACGATGGCCTCGTAAGGGAAGATTCTGTCTGCCTGCCAGTATAATAGTTTTAATAATAGAGCCTAAAACGTCACGATTGTATTGAATGCGGGCACTTCTAAGATGATCGGCTTGTTCGTCGATGCCAATAGTTTTACCTTTCATCACACGTTGGAACTGCGACAAACGGAACTTGGAGTCACGGTGAATTAGGGAATATTTGTCATGCTGGTAAAATTTTGTTGCCGCACTCTGCCAGTTTCTTAAGGGTTCCTTAAATAATTTACTAAGCTTTGAACCATTATGTCCTGTTTGATGACCGAACAAAACGCAATAATAACAAAAGGCTCCATCAAATAATTTAGAGTAGCACAACCAGGACCAACGATCTAGCCAGCCAGCACAAAATTTTCTTGAAGATTTACCATTCTCAGAAAAGGAAAATTGAAAGAAGGGGAGGCTTCCAGTGATTTTTATAAGTCTTAGCTTTGTGTCGTCATCTAGGGCCGCCACAGATACAAAATGTCCAATATCCAAGGGATCAACATCTGTCATATCAGTTTTTACAGATTTTGACAAGGGACAAGAAGCATTTGATACTTTTCCATCTTCAAAGTCGCATGAAAGAGGTCCTAAATAAAACATTACTAAGATGTAGGTATACGACTACATTCAAAATAATAAAGCCTGAATGCGTTAACATGCAAGGTCATATATCATAGGTCATTGTTTTTGGTGCATTTGAGTGAAAGCTTGTTGCCAATTTGACGATCTCATGTTTAGAAGGACGGATTTATTCACATGTACAAAAAATATCCTCCATCCCACAACGAATACTTTATATTGCATGGTATGCTTTACTTATGTTCTTAGAAAAGCATGCTTACCTATAATTAAAATATATTTGCAAATGAACAATCACTAATTTAACCCACGTTTTAAGGAAGTCTTCAAGCAATCATAGCTGCTGCCATTTAAGTCTTCCCTTGGTGAGGATTTTGCAGGTGCTACCAAAGTTGTGTCTATTTGTTGCTCAAGTCCACTTTTATTTTTCTGTAAGACATCAACTTTAAAGTGGTCAGTAATTTTTTTTTATTATTAACTCTTGAGTTATTAGTTTGATTAAATTCAATTAGTGGTACAAAATGATTGGGTTGAAATTCTATATCTAATTCTGGAAGAGAATAAGCACCAGTAGTTGTCCACATTAAAATTAACTTAGAAGGCTGAACAAGTTGACTTGAAATATGTTGGTGTGCTTGCCGTGGAAGAATTTTACCATTTAGAAATTGTGAATATTTGGTCTCCTGGTCCAACTTTTCGGGATAAACTGAAATTATAGTCATTCCAGTGACAGAAGACAAACCAAATATACACATAAGTGAAGAATAAGTACCATTGCATGCATTATTTAGAGCTTCCTCTTTAACTACTATTACCTTTGTGCTTGGATTTTTCCTATCATAGCCATTGCCTAAAGCCACATCTGATACTGATGCAGAAAAGCAGTATTTTCTGACTTAAAAATGCAACTTATCTTTTAAGTAAGGGTGGTTAGCATAATACTCCTGGTGATTGAATAGCTCAATGCTTGTCAAGTCTCTCAGCAAATGACATAGGTCTTCCTTGCCACAAAGTAATTTTGAGCAGGCTCTGTACAGACAATTACCATCACCTCTAGTTCTAAATATAGCAGAGTTAAGAAAATTCTCATTGTGTGGCTAAAAATTAGAAATCAGAAGAATTCAAAACTTAAATGTCTGACAGGGTTATTTGGAAAAGAAAATGTTAGCTTCTACTGAAGTCATAAGTATATTGGAAGAAGGAATACAGTCATTACATTTTTAATGTAATCCATACAATACATAAACTAAAATGCAACTAAAATCGCACCTACCCTGCATATTACAGTTTGTATTATATTACATATGAATACAAGTATAAGTGCTGCATAAGTAATATGACATCGTGTATATTTTATGATGATTGTTCGTCGTTATCTACACGACTACACTCTGAGTCTGAAATGAGTACACTATTTACATTTAAAACATGCAAGCATAAAGGTAGATTTACTTACTTTAAAGCTCTTAGTTCTCCACTTTGCCAATGAACTGTCAAGGGCTTAGGTATTAACATTTCACTTGACATATCTCTCCCATTTTTACCCTTTGAAAAGGGATTCCAAGGAGAGGATTTTGAAATAAAAGTAGCAGCTCTCGTTTCATAGGTTCGACGCACTCCATTAATATCAAATGACTTCTCTTCTCGAAGCAGAGTACACAGATCTTGTTTGATATTCTCGACAGCCATGACTTCGATCGATGATTGCGAGTTATATCAAGTGATCAAATAACAATGCATTCAACTTTGAAGTTCAAAGTTGAATGCATCGGTGCCATGTGCCCACAATCACAAAATTATGGAAAATGCATCGCTCAGCGGCAAAATCTACCGTGACGTGAGGCCCTAAAACAATGGTTTTGCTGATGTCACAGTAGATTTCACGCGGAAAGGACTCGGGACCGATGCATCGACCGATGCATCGCAAATCTACTGTGACGTAGCGATGCCTCTTCCATCTACCGTGACGTGCTGGCAGAATACTATTAAATTACTTACTAATTATGTATTCACGACAAAATTTCGCTAAATTTTATCGACTTTTCTTTCGCTATTTGTGTCATGGAATACGACAAAATTATCGGAGAACACAAATGTTATTTCTAGAACAAATTTTAGCTTAAAACTGCTAAATCTATAAGTTAACTAAACAATATATCACTGTCAAATGTGCGTTTTAAATAATTCGAAAATAATATTTGCTATTTATTTCATTAAAATGCAAACTCGCAGATTTTAATATCTAAATATTTTGACCGATGCATTCGCATCGGTTGCATCGGTCTAGATCCGCCCCTGCACCTAAACCATACAGTCCAAGTTATCGGTCACTCACAACGGCAAAAAAGTAGCAGTGCCTCTTCATCATATTAAAGACAAGGGATCGTTGTCGATGACTGCCAATGCATTTGGTATACATCAATGTACTGTTACTAAAGTTGTGATCGAAGTATGCTCTGCCATAAACAAGCAAACGTAGCAAATGCATCCAAATTTGAAATAAAATTTGTTATATTTCAAACTTTTGGGTGTATTGATGGGACCCATATTCGTTTGAAAGCCCAGAGACAATTCACAGGAATTTTATAACTACAAACGATTTTTCTCCCTCAATGTCCAAGCTGTTTGTGATAGTAAAGGTTGTTTTATGGATGTGGAATGTAAATGGCAAGGTTCAGTTCACAATTCAAAGGTTTTTGCAAATTCTTCCATTTGTGAGATATTAAACAATTAGCATGATGCCCATAACATATATTAACTTTCTCCCTGGTCGTAAAAATGTGCCAAATTATCTTATTTGAGATCCGGCTTATCCCCTTACAAAATTTTGTTTGAAGGAGTACCAAACCTGTTCAAACAATGGCCAAGTAATGTTCAACAACCTGCTTCGATCAGCCAGACACCATGTTAAGTGTGCTTTTGGAAGAGTAAAAGCTCGTTGGAGGTTTTTTAGGGGACAGGTGACTCAAATTTAATTCCATCCCAACAGTTGTTTACAGTTGTTTTGTTTGGAACAATTGTTGTGAACGAAATGAAGGTAATGGTTTGGATGCAACAGTATTTGATGGTTAAGTGCAACAGCGCCTGGAAGATGAAAGAAATACTCTTCATGGTCCAGTTTACTCTCACAACAATCAAGGATGTGAAATTGCTCGTTTAGTTTGACGGACTATGTCACATATAACTTACCAGATCATTTGTATTAAAATCCTTTTAATTGAAGGACATTGAAGGGCTCATTTCATAAAATTTAAAGACCAGAGGATATTATGTTTCTAAACAAAATAAGAAATACTTACTTCGTGTAATATAAAAGAATTAATGTGTTCAAAATAATTTATTAACAAGTCTAATTTATCCAAACTGAACAATAACATTTTCTAGCAAAACAAAAAATGTTAAAAAATATAAATCAATATGATTTTAAGGTATCATAATACAAATGCATATCATAATACACATTTCATGTAAGTTTTGACAAAGGGAACCTACAGTGCATGGTAGCTTACCACATCATCATCATTGCCATAGCTAATACTCTCATTACCAGGACTAGGAATAGATTCACCAAAATTGAATTGATTGGTACCAAAATTATTATTTACAGCTCGACCAGAGTGATATGTGCGTGGAGGAAAAGCATTATGATTGTACTATTGCATGAAAGAATGACCCATTATTTCCATAGATTTTGCTAGACTTTGAGCTACTAATTACATGGACTAGCTCATCTCTTGCATTGAATTTGCAAACATTTGATCTGACTATTTCATAAATGTGACAATATCTTTCTTAAATTTCGAATCTTCTTTTGATTCTTGGAATAACAACTAATTACGCTGGGTCGCACTAAGCTGTCTTTCCATGTGCTTTCGCTTGTTGTCTATAAGCACAGGAACAACACTTGTTACGTTTCGCTTTCTCTTGCTCTTTCCACTGCTTTAGGATTATCTAAAGGATTAATAATGGCATCTTCAGTTCTCATCTGCTCAAATGAAGGCTGGTCAGGCTGGTTAAAAATTTCTTCGTAGTTTATTTCCAGCTCTTCAGTTGACTTTTGAGCATTGATTCCTTTTGCGCTTATTCAACACAACAGTAGTTTTATTGTTGCTGCATTACCCATATCTGCGCTAGTTGATCATAGTACTCCATGACAACTATACCACTTCCACTGCGACGACCATTGGTCACAGCTTCAGTAAAGTCTTACCATACTTCCTTCAACTTTTCTGAACACGTGTGTACCCCTTCTTTATCAGTGTCTTCTCCATTTCTTGTTGCTTTCTAACGCGTTGCTTTTCAATTTTCTCCTCATCAGTGAGTTCTTCCTCGCGTTTGTTCAATAATGGGTTACACTGGACGGATGATGGGCTAAATTGTGTAGAGTCACTCGCATATATATTAGCGAGGCCAAATCGAACAGCCTTGTATTGCCTCACTTTGTCTGCATTGAACTAGGAATTATTAAATCTTTACCCCAGCGAAATCTTTTTTTCTTTCTGCAACACGGACTTTAGCAATTTTTCTTCCATAGTTTTGTT